ATAAAATGCACACCTACTAATATTTTAAAATAAATAGTAAAATACTTTCGCTAAACTGTTATATTAGAAATATGCATAGAACTTAAATGAAAATTTATTTTCTTTCATCATTATTGTGTGAAAATTTAAAAAAAGAACTATAATAAATTTTTTACATCCCTTGTATTTTCCTATTTCTACATTTAGTTTATTTAGCTATGTAGTTTATTCGACCAAAGTTCAGGATTTGGTATGCATTTTCCACACCACCCAAGAGGTATGCATAAAGGTGCGTTACCGAGTTTATGTGCCGGTTCCCCAAGAGGCATATCCACCATTATATATTGGTTATAATTTTTTACAGACTTTTACAAATACAAAATTAACAGAATAATAATTACAATACTTTTAAAAATTAATTGCAAATTTAAATATACATAAACTAAAAGCAAAAAAATTATTAAAATAAAAATTTAATTTATATGTAAAAGTCAACTGAATATCATGTGGAAAACTAAGCCTATGAATGCGTTACACGCAAGAGCTTTTGCCTATAGTCAGGTGTATTCAGAACCCTATTAAAAAATTTTAACAGGAAATACATGCGTACCCTTATAAAAAGAGTTAAAATACTGTCTGTTTTGCAGTTTTGACAGCAAACATATGGACGTATATTTTTTAATTTTTGGTATAAAAATTGTGCTATACCTACTTTTTGGTAACTGCTATTAAAGTGTTTGCAAAATTTTAACTACTTTTTGTTAAATATTTGCGCAGTAAATTTTGTATGATTTGGCGCAACGAAATTTTATATTACTCTCAAAAAATCAAAACCAAAAAACAAAACCACACTCTTTCTTACAATCTTCATGGTAAACTTTTTGAAATATTCAGTTCTCAAAAGTACTCGAAGCATCGGAAAAAGGTGAAAAGGTGAAAAATTTCAATGATTTCAGCTGGTGTTAGTGCACTTTTCACTAACACTTTCAAGAGCTCTACGGCAAATTGTTGTTGTGCGAAAAAACAAATTTTAGTTCACAATGGAGTTGCCGTTCTTGTAAGGTATTCTTTGATATAAACAAAGAATACCTTACAAGAACGGCAACTCCATTGTGAACTAATATTTCAAAAAGTTTACCATGAAGAGTGTAAGAAAGAGTGTGGTTTTGTTTTTGGGTTTTGATTTTTTGAGAGTAATATAAAATTTCGTTGCGCCAAATCATACAAAATTTACTGCGCAAATATATAACAAAAAGTAGTTAAAATTTTGCAAACACTTTAATAGCAGTTACCAAAAAGTAGGTATAGCACAATTTTTATACCAAAAATTAAAAAATATACGTCCATATGTTTGCTGTCAAAACTGCAAAACAGACAGTATTTTAACTCTTTTTATAAGGGTACGCATGTATTTCCTGTTAAAATTTTTTAATAGGGTTCTGAATACATCTGACTATAGGCAAAAGCTCTTGCGTGTAACGCATTCATAGGCTTAGTTTTCCACATGATATTCAGTTGACTTTTACATATAAATTAAATTTTTATTTTAATAATTTTTTTGCTTTTAGTTTATGTATATTTAAATTTGCAATTAATTTTTAAAAGTATTGTAATTATTATTCTGTTAATTTTGTATTTGTAAAAGTCTGTAAAAAATTATAACCAATATATAATGGTGGATATGCCTCTTGGGGAACCGGCACATAAACTCGGTAACGCACCTTTATGCATACCTCTTGGGTGGTGTGGAAAATGCATACCAAATCCTGAACTTTGGTCGAATAAACTACATAGCTAAATAAACTAAATGTAGAAATAGGAAAATACAAGGGATGTAAAAAATTTATTATAGTTCTTTTTTTAAATTTTCACACAATAATGATGAAAGAAAATAAATTTTCATTTAAGTTCTATGCATATTTCTAATATAACAGTTTAGCGAAAGTATTTTACTATTTATTTTAAAATATTAGTAGGTGTGCATTTTATGTTCACATTGAGATAAAAATATTTAAAACTTAAACATAAGGCGCTACATGATAATAATCATATCCCAAATAAATTTATGTTTTTAAGGTCATTTAAATTCTGAAGAAAATATTCATATATTCTATACATAATCAACACAAATAAAATAAATATGTTTTTAATTTTTATATTATGCAAAAATTTATAATATTCATCAAACAGATGAACTAAAAATGTATAGCATATATCTCGTTTAAATCTTGCATTAATTCTGGTAAATAATCAAGTCTATTTCATTTTATAACAATAATAAATTATGTAAACAACTTGTACTTCTTTTAATTAAACTTAGCTAATATTTTTAAATACTTTAGTATTTATATATAAATATATTTTATAATCATAATATAAAATTAAAATTTTTCAATATTAAAATTTAAAAATTGTTAAATTTTATATAAAAATATATCTTCATAAGAAAAACTCATAAATCCGACAATGAATGCGCATGCACCCGCTCTTATCAATAGATTTTTCGCTACTGATCACACAGTAATGTACGTAAATTAATAATAAATATTATTCACCACATACATTTAGAGCGGATGCGCGCACATCCTCCCTTATCAACAGATTTATTGTTACTAATCAATTAGAAATGCATGCAAGGCAATAATACGTACCACACATTTAAAGGGAATGCGCGTACACCCTTCCTCATCAACATATTTTTTGGCACTAAATTTAAAAATTAAGTCTTCGCAGAGAAACACAATTTATCATGGATCACTTAAGTGCTGCCGTATAAAAAAGTGAATTGGTAGTAGCTTCAATCTTTGTTATTAATTTCACATCAAAACGGTATTTAATGCTATTATATCAAAATTGTTTTTGAAATAATGTTTTACATGCTCAAAAAATATATAAGAAAATATAACTCACTAAATAAGAAATATTCAAAACTGTTCTTTTTATTTAATTAAAATATTTGCTTCTACAAAAGTTTGTTGCCAAACATTATAAATTAAAATACTATAAAATTCATATGAAAAAAGCAACAAAAATTAATTTACTGAATATATATTACATGATTAAGTAAACTAAGCTGATTTAAATTAATTGGTTTAAATTATTATATATTAATTTATATATTTATTTATCATATATTATTTGTTACAATATACATTTTGTTTACGTAATGTGATATTATTAACCAAATAAGGAAGCATAAGTTTTTTATATTACTAAAAAGTTAACATATGATTAGCAAGTAGCAGCAAATTATTATACTGCAACCCTAAAAAGAGAGCAATTTGATGTTACCGTGGTAAGATCACATGTATTTAATACGTGTGCCGAAATGTTATAAAAAATAAGTTTTCAAAAACAATTTCAAATGCACTCTCACGTAGTGGGCGGAGTTTCCGTTCTTGTAAAGATATTCTTTGGTTTATATACAAGGATCTGCTATTGTAACGCAGTGTTGTATCATATTTTTTAACAATTGGGAGCGATAATTTGAATTTACAATTTCACAATAGAGTTTTAATGTCAACGACTAGTTTGATTAGGCTGTTAATCTCACAGTGTAAACATAGCATACTTAAGGTATTAAGGGTTAAAGTACATTATGTCGGCAATGCAGCGAATGTTGGTATTTGTCAGAATTTCGAGTAGGGTAAATTAGATAAAAATTAGGTAAATTAGGTGTTACCATTATGAAAATTTTATAAGATGTTTAATAAATAAATAAATAAATTTGAAAACTTTTAACCAAAAATAATATATAAGTGCAATAAATAAATAAATAAATATTTACATATATGCAAAAAATCTCTAGAAAATTTTAATTTACTTTACCTCAATTTTCTCGAACTCGCACACCGCCTTAGAATAACAAATATTCTTTGTTTTTATATCAGTGAGGCAACATTTCGTAAGAAACGCAAAGTATACAAATTGCATTTGCTGGCGTTATCACTCAACGCTTCCGTTATATGCGTTTATTTGATTTCGAACATAGAATTGAAAAAATGCAATTTTTGTACTTTGGCCTTATTGTATCAGTGTGCATATAATGCGATAACGTTAGCCATTATGTTCATTAATGGTAGCTAAATGACTTCAAATTCTAGCTATATTTTAACTTTACAACTTTTAACAATATAATAACGCTAAAGTTGTATGACATCATTGTCAGATTACATATTTGTAGTTCCCCAAATGTTGATATTATGAAATGCGAGAATCGAATTCTCAAAGTTTGTTTTCGATCATAATTAAAAAATTTGTGTCAATCCTTGCTCTGATAGTTAAGTTTAAATAATGGAATTGAGTTGATCGTGGAGTAAGAGTTATTTCTAAAACAGTCGAATTTTTTTATTCTGAATTTTTTTTATATTATTTTTATTAATTGTCATATGTCACAAAACTTGATCTATTAAATTTGTTTCATTTTCATTTTTAATTTTATTGTAGGTATAACACATTAATTTACTGTTTAGGAATGATTTTACCCAAGACTGCATATCTTACGAGTAAATCTTAAGCGAACGCTTCTCTCATCTAATTTCTGAAATACTATATTTACGGTATTTTGAGTGTCTCTCTGCTTTTCCTTGTAAGAGCATTCTTATGCTTTCCAACTTGACTGTATTGTCGTATTTTATAAAGCTAACTGTGCCTATTCTGAATCGCATGGGAATAGGAGTTTTTTATCCTTTTCCCATTTTCTGAATAATATGGTAATGGGAGTTTTGTTCCCTATTCCCAATATATTCCCAGCTCTTATTTTAAGAACTTACGTTCCCACTTTCCAGCAGAGAACAATATCGTTGCTTACAGACCAAGTGATCAGCAAGCTTTGTTTGCAGATTTATGTTCTGGTTGTGTTGTAGTGTTTTGAATTATAAATTAATTTAAAATTAATCAATTAAAAGTTTAGTTATTTTCCAATGTTTGTTTATAAACTGCGAAATCATTCATTTATTAATTAGCATCAGAATATAAAGGTACAATTTTATTTTTCTAATATTTTTTATTTCTTCTATATATAATGTACTCACAGTTAATTATTTAGTCGTATTTAACTGCATTTAAAAATAAAATAATCAATATTCTCTAATATTATCCGAAAAATATGATAAGAGATTCCAAAAGTATTTTGAATGGTAAAAATGATAATATATGTACATACATATAGTTTAAATGAGCACGTACAAATGGAAGATTATAATTAAATCTTATTATTTTTAAATTTATGTTGAAATGTACTTAGCTAAAAAATTCTTAACATAATGTGTATACTGAATAATTTTAAGAAAAATGAGATTTTGTACGTAACATTTTAGTCTGGCATATCAATACTTATTATAGGAACAACAGGCTTCATGCTATCGTTTTTAGCTCCTTTATTTTTTTTGTCATGTTTTTCAAAGTCACCCAAATGTACTGAACTTGTAGAAGCGTCCAACGGTACCGATTGTGCTGCCGAACTGTGATCTGTATGATAAGAGATATTGCCATACTCTTGCAGAAATGGTAATGCAGACAGTAAGAATTGACTGAAAGATTTACGAATGCCAAACCACCACTTATTGCCACCTTTAGCACTAAAACTTAAAACAATAAGTGCAAATATTGAAACAAGCAAAGGACTAAAAACAACAATATATGGAAATTTTAATTCGCCTTCCAATTTGTCGCATATGACTACCTGTTGGGAAAAATTTTTTTTTAAATAAATAGAAAATATTATCTATTAAAATTGGCCTCACTTGAAAACAAAGCAACGGTAGTACAGTACAAATGTTTCCAACGGCTGCATTTAGTGCGGCTTTCTTTTGCTGCAAGGAGATTTCAGGGGTGCGCATCATAATACCACAAAAAATGATATTGTAAAGAACACCTGTAAGGAATAATTGTTATTTTTGCAAATAAATAAAAAACAAATATACTTACTAACTAAACTTAAGCAAATTACAATCCACATAGGTACAAATACAACTTCCCAATTCCAATAAACGAATTGATCTAGCTTAAGTGGCAAAGAAACGAATTGCAATGCATTGACAGCTAAAAATAATTCTAATTCAAATGAGCGATCATGTTTTACAGCCCAAACACATGCCCCCACACTAGCCACTGAACCAAAAATCAAAGGTATAAAAACTAATACCCATAAGTATCTGCCAGAAGTTAATTTATCGCAGGCAAGCACTTCGAACATAAGCAAAATTAAATGCAACGAAAGTGATATTAACATGGCCTTAAACTGTGTGTAAGAATCGCCTTCAAGTCTATAACAGAATCCAGTATATAAATAAGATAATATTTATCAATTTTTATATTTATTTACCTATAATGTGGATAACGACACCAAACTATTGCTCCAATAGCTGCACCTAAAGAAGCTATAGCTTTCCATATCCAAAGAGGAGTAAATATTGCCCAATATGGCCAATCTGTAAGAAAACCATCAACACTGACATACACAATTAATTCCTTAAAACTCACCAATAAATCCATCTAAACGCAAGGCAAAGAGGGTCACGAAAGTAAAGAGACTGCAGTGTACAATAAATTTACTGAAATACAAAAACAAGAAATTTTTAATACAAAGTTAGAAAATTATGCAATTACTTACCTTGGATTGAAATCCCTAAATAATGATTGCAGGTTCATATTTTAAAATATTTTTCTGAAAATGCGTTTGACTGCTGACAAAGAATAAAATATCGCAACTTAGTTTCTAACGAGACTGCCTCGGAAAAACCAAGTGCTATTAATGAAATCCAATTATATTTTATTAATTGTATCCGTCCATATTACTTTTTATATTTCGTATACAAACTGCAAAAATTATTTTTAATATATTAATGCACTAAACTTTACCCAAACAACCTACTCCTTCACTTCGTACAACAAAAATGCATCAGTATATGCAACGCAGAGAGATGTCAAAATTTAACAGGGTGTTTTAGTTTCTCTTTTTTTCACTTTTCTAATAATAGTATTGTTATACGTAAGCCGTAGTGCCTCAAACTGCTACAGTATAAATAATCGAGCAGTTCGACTACATTCGAATTTGAACATTTGAATGGGTTTCTATGGCCGTGTGCGAGTTCGAGTAAACTGAGATAAAGTAAATTAAAATTTTCTAGAGATTTTTTCACTGCACTTAAGTAAACATTTATTTATTGCACTTATTTATTATTTTTGGTTAAAAGTTTTGAAATTTATTTATTTATTTATTAAACATCTTATAAAATTTTCACAATGGTAATACCTAATATATCTAATTTTTATTTAATTTACCATACTTGAAATTCTGGCATATAACAACATTAGCTGCCATATCGACATAATTTACTATTTCCGTCAATTTACCATCAATTTGCTAGAACTCGCATACTGTATAAAGCTAATAAATCTACTGAATGTCATCCTTCCTGATTATAGTAATCAACTTCTAAAATTTCGCAGATACAAATGGTGTTTAGAGCATGTAATTTTAACATTCGATTTGTAAACATAATTTCCTTAATTTAGGGCAGTATAAACACTTTCGAAATTAACTTAATTTCCTTTTCACGAAATTAAGAAAATTTGGCTACAAATAAAAATTAAATTTTATTTCATCATTTTGACTCGATGTTTCGCTGGTTTTATGTCATCTTTAGGATTATCTAAAGTATATTTATTTACTTAATAAACAATTTTACGACAATGAAAACATTTTTTAATAAATGTTAAAGTAATATGGCGGTTTTCATTTTGAATGAGCCATTTGAAAGTGTTAACATTCGTTTAATGCTTTTGTTCCCATTTCAAACAGCTGATTTTTCAACTTGCCTGTTGATTTGATTGTGCCAAAAAATATTGCATGAAGATTAAATACGCTTTCAAACCTTACAATATAAACTTAAAACATATTCTTAATTTCGATTAATTACTTTTTGGGAAGTAGAAGTTCTAAAAAGACGTGCACCGTTTTCAAGAAAATGCAACTACCAAACATTTGTTTAATTTTTTTTGTTAATATGTCAAAAACAGCTTTCTCAAACTGTCAAAATGCCAAACTGTCAAAAAGCTGTTATTTAGGGTATGTTCAATGTATTCCTTTGCATTTGGAACACATTTGGAACGCATTCGATCATCGATGGAATGCATTCATACAGAATGTGATCCAATAGATCTCATTCGCACTGGAAATTTTGTATGCAAGAATGAGCCATTTGCTTCTCATTTTCGATTTTTGACCAAAATGAGCCATTTGAGACCAGTGTAAATGCCGTATTAAATCGTTAAATCGTTATACGATGTTGTGCATCACAGCAAAAATATGAATTTTGAGACAGAATATGTCAAATTTATTATTTGTTTATATATATCTTAATGGATTTCTAAAATTATCTTGATAAACTTTAAACAACTTTCCCATGAAAATGTTCTAGGCAATTGCATCAAAAGATAGTAATTACTTTATAATTGCCCTTAATTAAGACATATCACCTGTACTACAAATGAGGAATATTTTAATCCATAAAATTATTTTTAATAACAGTTTTTGAACAGTTTACTGCATTAAGTGCATTGAAATTTCACTTATGATTTGATTTTATTTTAAATTTCAAAATAGATCAGTGAACATCGAATATAAGAAATTTATATGTAATTGTTGATTTTTTCGAATACCAATATATATATTATATCCCTTGTTAAAATCTTATGCTTTGATTTTATTTTAAATTTCAAAATAGATCAGTGAACAGTGAACATCGAATATAAGAAATTTATACGTAATTGTTGATTTTTTCGAATACCAATATATATATTAAATCCCTTGTTAAAATCTTTGGATTTTGGAGATAATTTATATGCTTTATGCTATAATATTGAATAATTATTTCAATAATTTATATATATATTTAAAAGTTAAAGTTATTTTTATTAATTTCGAGTTTTTTTGATGTTTGCTGTGAAGTGTAAGCATTTTGTAAAATGATTTGTAAAATTTGATCAAAGTATAATTTAATGTTTTACAACACTAACAAAAATGGTTTCTGCACAGGATAATGACATCGATTCATACACTGAAAGTGATTGTTGTGGAAATGGTTGCGTAAATTGTGTATTAAATGTTAAATCTATTTCGCCCATTGAAATAACATCAAAACAAAATATCCTAAGGAACTACACAAAGTTTACATTAAAAAATAAACAACCACATACTCCACTACTGCCTGATGTCATTGACTTACATTTCGTATATGCAGATGTTAACGACGGAGCGAGTGAATTTTGTGTCCATGTACCACCAGGACATCACATAATGATGAGAGCGTTTATCGAAGATAAAGTCTGGTTACGTCCATACTCGCCATTTTGGGTTGACACCTCAAAGTTTGAATTTAAAATACTAGTTAATTTGAAACCACAAGGTTTAATGTCGAATTACATCGAAAACTTGAGTATTGGCGATAAAGTGGAATTTCGTGGGCCTATTGGGAGCTTTGTGCACAAAACACCAAGTTGTGATAAATGTATATATATTATAACACAAGGGGTTGCTATTGCGCCAACAATACCAATTGTAGAACAAATACTGCACAATGAAGATGATTTGACACGAGTTTATCATTTGAACTGTTTCACTGATATCAACCACATTTATTTTCGAAAGAACTTGAATGATTTTAACAAATATTGGAACTATGAGGGGCACATTTACTTGGCACATCAAGTTTGCAGCAATGAAAAATGCCAAAACTCGGGAAGTTGTTGCGGTGAATGCGAGGTTTTTCGTAAATTGCTATGGTACAAGGAATCAGCATATATTCGAAGACTTACAAAGACGGATTTGGAGAAAATATGCTGTAACAATTTAAATTACCAAAAGGAATTTATAATTAGTGGCACTAAAGTGTTTCAGACATCTATATCTGAAATAATTAACGAAATGAATTTGGTCAATGAAAAAGAAGACATCATACTTTTGTAAATATTTGAGCATTTAATTTGCTAATTAAAATTTAATTTATGTAATTTTAATGTTAGTTTTCTTTATTGGTTTTGAACAATTCTTAAATTTCTTTTGTACATCTAACAATATTATAGAATAAAAATATTTTAACATAAACTTTTAACAATTGTTCTTTATAATTAGAATTCGCTTTGCTGTTAACTGAAATAAATTGTGTTGTGGGTTCGTTTCAAAAGTGGATAGGTATATGTGTCACCTTTTATCAACGACCAAGTACTGCTCTTAAACAAATACACAGGCTTCTTAAGTAATGGAAATACTGCGTGATAGAACGTACCGATTACTTTAGTCGCATTCAATAAAATGAGGGGTATCAGCTAATGCATTCCGTTTGCTCGAACATAAACATATTTTAAAATATTTAAGAATTTGTCAGTATCCATTATATATATATACTCTAATTCTGCATTGCATTATTTTTAATTTTATTGTAATATACATTATACTTTTCTTAGACGTCACTTCTGTGGAGCGGTATTTGTGTTGTTACCCAAATAGGGTCTTAGAAGTTCCATTGGTAACGGGAATATAATTGTTGAATTCTTCTCTGTAGAAATGCTGGTTAGAGTTTGTAAATAACGTAACTAAAAAAAAAAAGTAATTAAATAATCTAAATCAAAAACAAATAGAGCAAGTCAAAATACCTGTAAGGCAGCAGGACTGGTTGATATTATGTCTGAAGCATCTTTTAAAGCCTGTGATGACTTCATTTCACCTTCAGCGGCAATAACCTTAGCTCTAGCATCTCTAGCTGCTTCAGCTTCAGCAGCCATTGCACGTTGCATAGATTTTGGTAGTGAAACGTCTTTACTATAAAAAAATATTTTTTTGTTATAATTAGAATTACTTCTATAAGTTATATATAAAGATATATATATAAAATAGTTACTTACATTTCTACACGTTCGACTTTAACACCCCATGGCTCTGTGGCATCATCCAAAGATACTTGCATTGTATGTGAAATTTCCTCACGACCTGCTAATACTTCACAAAGATTTCGTGTTCCAAGTACATTACGTAATGTAGTTGCTGCCAATAATCGTGTGGATTCACTGTAATTCGAAATCTGTATGATGGCTTTTAGTGGATCGTGTATTCGATAGTAGACTACAGCATCTACAGATACTGTCACTGAATCTCTAGTCAGTACTTCTTGAGGTGGTACATTAAAAGATACTGTACGCAGGTCTACTTTAAAATAGTCATCGACGCATGGTAAAATGAAGAAAACCCCAGGTCCACGGGCACCGCCACTGCGTAAACGACCCATACGAAATATTATCGCTCTTTCATATTCTGTTACTATTTTAAAGCATATGAATATCGAGATGGGAAAAGTTAAAACCAGGAGTGTGATTGAGAGGACTGTTGCTATAATCTCTATTAAACTCTTTTCATCATTCTCCGCTAAAAAGAAAGCATTGTGATGTTTATTATTAAAAGCGCATATGAAATAAATTGCAAATATTTGAAATTTGCGAAATAATTAAATGTATTTTAGTTATATATATTAAATTTATGAATAATTTCAAAATTAAAATAACATAAAAGTAGTGTAAAGATAAATGTCTAAACCAGTGTTTGCCTTAAATTATAAGATTTATGTATATTTTAAGATTTATATATATCTATAACTTTGTATACAATAATGTAATAGAAGAAGTATATATCTGATAAAAACCTTTTTGCTATCAGTAGTTATAAACATTTATTAAATCGAAATTAATTCATTAATTAATAAAAGGCTTCAGCCAAAATGGTCAGCCAAAAATTCGATTAATTAAAATAATAAAAAAAAAAATATAAATTTTGTTGTTTTATATATATATTTTTTATATTTTATACTATCGTTAATGTAGTAATGATTTTTATTAAAGTCTTTCAAATTAGCCGCACCCCATATTTTTAATAGAATTTTAAATTGATCTTAATACGTAATTTTTAATTGTAGAAACTGTGAAAGTCAAGTTTCATTTATCTGAAGCATTTATAATGCTAGTACTACTTATATTAAATACTGATATACTATAAATTAAAAAAATGAATGGTTCAGTTTACGTTCTTTCTTAATATCTAAGTGTACTATATCGCTCTATCGGGTCTTTCTAAGCAAATTCTTTAATTTTTTAGAAGCATATAATCATTTCTAATTTTTTGATGTCATATTACACTATATCAACACTTTCTGATAAAATTCTTAAGTTTCTTACACATAATCCCACATATTTGTTGACACAAAAATAGCTTTAAATGGTTATTAAACCAGGAAATCAGCTGAATATATATCATTAGCTTCAAAAGGTGTCACAATCTGCCGGACATTAATTTTATGATCGCTATTCCAACTTTACATAAAATAAATCACCTCGTTTTTTATATTTATTTATTATTCAATGCTGATGTACTATATACTATTATATGCTTATAACATAATATATTATATACCAATTATAGTGCTACAACTCAACGGACTTATCGAAATGAAGTATACGCCTTTATTTCAATAGTCTTTTGTTCGATTACAAGAATACTAATATATCATTATATATTATTTAGAAGATGAGAAGCATTGTTTTGAAATATTTGACACTATTTAATAGAGAAGTTTATAATAAAAAAAAAATCTCCATATTAACCTATCATTTATTGTTTCAAAATGTAAATTTCATAGAAATTCATAAAAGCCTAAAATATAAATTTAGAGTAAATATAAATAATAAATAATAAATACCAGAGACGTACAAGTCTTTAAACCTTGATAAGTGTTGGGGTGATGTGAACTGGCGATGTGTGGTTGTGTAGAATTCTCTTCGTGACTCATTAAATGAGTTATTTGATTTTGCGATGGTGAGTCCATATCAAACCAAAATAGATAAAAATCTCTTTATCGAACTAGCGTTAGACGAGCGGCTCAACCGAAGTATAAATATTAACTGACTGCGTTTGTTTTATTTATATTTTTTCAACTCGGAATCTGCGGTATAATTCATTCTCTAATAAAAAAATTTATAATATGCGCGATCCGCAAATAAATAGTCGTGCATACAAACAAATATATTTTTGCTTTTATAAACAATAATAATTTTTAGACTGCCGCAAGGGCCACTTCAAAAGTGCTAAATTTTTGCGAAATAATATAAAATAATCTCATGAGTACAGATATTTTTAATGAAGTACCGAATGTATTTTCTTAAAAAAACGTTAGGTAATTTAGATATTCTATTTACTTTTAATTATCTTAATTATAATTATTATAGTAATAATAATACATATTTTAGAAATATTATTAGTGTATGCATGTCGTTCTCGGTATATGTTTAAAAAGACAAAAAAATAAAAAAAGTCCGCTCATGATCACATCAAAAATGCTAGTAAGAGAATGAATATGAAAGTGGAAATAACTATTGGTAGGGCTATCGACGTAGTTCGTTTTCAAAAGTTTAATAATTTTCAGATATATATGTTACAGGTATCTTTAAATTTAAGACGAAAGTAATCACGAAAGTAATCTGTTCGCTAAAATATTGATCATTAATAATATAATAGCTTTTGCTCTTAAACTTTGTAAAATTTTCTCTCTGACTCTTCGATTATTCATTGTATGGAAAAAAAACTGAATGAATGTATGTTATGTATATCATGTATTCCATTAACAGTGGATATTTAAATATTATTTCATTTTCTATAATTTATCTATGGTTAAATATTATTTTTATTGAAGATTAATTTAAAATTAGTTTTTTTATACAGTGACGAACAAAATTATTGGCACAGCAAGCAAATTGAAATTTTAGCACTATTTTCATCCTGTTAATGATGCGATTTTTAATAAGCAAAAAATTTTAGATAAAATTAGAATTTAGATAAAATGCTTGATATGCTTTAAAATTCATTTTGTTTCATATTATTTTCTTTTATATTTAATTTTTTAAAATTAACAAAAAAGCCCATAAAAAGCCCATTATAACAAAAGAGGCAGAACTGAAGGTGGCACTGCTGAAGAGTGGCAAAATTTTGGAACAAAAACCACACAAAAATTGATTTCTTCGATTCCAAAACAAATAGTAGCTATTATTAAATAGAAGAGCTTGGCCACTAAATATTAATTGTTATCAAAATATTTTTTTTTAATCTGTTTTTTCATATATACGTTAGCTGTGCCAATAATTTTGTTCAGCCAAATTTAGTTTTTTTTGGTTTGTTAATTTTAAAAAATTAAATATAAAAGAAAATAATATGAAATAAAATGAATTTAAAAGCAAATCAAGCAGTTTATCTAAAAAAATTTTCTGCTTATTAAAAATCGGATCAAAAATAGTGCTAAAATTCAATTTGCTTGCTGTGCCAATAATTTTGTTCGTCACTGTATATTTTTTAGTACTCTTTGATTTTCAGTATATAATAATTTAGTTACATTTAATATATACAGTTGAAACCGGGTATAATAACATTGAGGGGATAGTAAATAAATTAAAAAATAAAAAATTATGGTAATGTTTAACGCAAAATATATTTATTTTATATATTTTTCAGTAGTGAAGTCGAACTTCCATAACTCGAACTTCTATAACTAGAACTAAAAAGAGCCCTTCCATAACTCGAATTTTCTAAAACTTTAACAGGATTTTAGAGGTCAAATTATATACTATTCTTCTTCCATAACTCAAACTTCTATAACTCGAATTAAAATATTGTCATGTGCCAATAGGAATATGGGAAAGTGCATTCTATAAGTCGAATTTTTGTTTTAAGTATTAATCTATTTTGGTGTAAGGGGAAGTCCGTTTTTCGAAACCAAATGTTTAAATTTTTTCTTTCTTATTTTGCTTTTTGTGCAAATGCCAGTCACTGGCAACAAAAAATAAGAAAAAAAAATCAAAATCCCAAACCCTAATTTCTGAATATTTTACTTCACTACGACTTCAGTGCTGTATTTTATTTCAAATAAATAAATAAACATCTTAAAATGAATTTCTAGTTTCTTTTAAAAATTATATTGTTCTTTTTGTTGTTCTTTTTTTATTTTGTATATATAATAATTTAGTTGCATTTAATATGCATATATATGTATACAGTTGAAACCGGGTATAATGACATTAAAGGGATTGACTTAGTCTGGTCGGTAGAACCGATAATCGTTATATGTAAGTAGTAAATAAATGAAAAGATAAAATATTATAGTAACGTTTAACGAAGCATATATATTTATAAATAATTTATATTTACACATTATTAAATTATAGTTAATTTATTTATTTAGAAAAGTATATATGTATGTATGTATTCTTATCAACATATTTGCCCTTTGAGAAAAATAATTTTTTACTTTTACTTAGTGAGCTATTTTGAACGCATATACCCTACATCCTCGCAGTTGACGATTACATGTTTAAGGTAATAATTTTTCTTGAAATGCTTTAAGTGAATCAATATCTACTTTATTAAAATTCGGTTCTAAGAACCGATTTATCGTTACATCGGTGTCGCTATAAGGGGTGCGAAATTATATGTGGGTATATGACAAACCAAATTTGAGTTAAAAAACCAGTCGATAAATCCGATGATTCTTATGAACTGACGAAAATAACCGATGTAGTCGTCTACAGACTATTTTTTTGTTATTACATATATGTACATATTTTAGTTATTTTTTATATTCAAAGATACGCTGTCCTGTACTTCACTATAACATAGCGTAGCTTTTAAACGCCTCCTAGTATTACTTACTATAAGTCACTGAAGAAGACATTTGTGTTAGATTTAATAGAAGTAGTAAAACAGATTATTTCTACGCAATAAATCTTTTGAACTGAATTGGCAAAATTAATATTACTACAATTAGTGGACATGTGTGAATAATCGTTGTGGTAGTGAATGATATATATTAAAATGCCGTTTTCATAAAAAAAACACAAAAATGAAGAAAGAAAAAATCAAATCAAAATAGATTCTTTTATATCCGAATATCATTTAATTTTATTATATATGCAAAGCAAAAAAATGGGTAATCATTTGAAAAGTTATAAGTAGTCGATTGAAGGGAATCGTTGTAAGGTCCGGATTTTCATGGAAGAATATGGTTAAATATCTATTATGTCGTTGTTTTAGTTATGAATTAAAAAAATTACAGCAAATCGGAAATGCTTATATTAGTTCTTATAAAAGCCCATAGCTCGCAAATTTCAGATTATAAACTGCTGACGCTTTGACCACTTCAGTACCTAAGATTTTGCATATTTTTCCCGGCAACTGTGCTCCCGCTGCCATTTCTCAGATATCTGATATTGATGCCTGCCATTCTTATAAAACTTTTAGTTTTTTGGAATAAAATGTACAACAATTACTAATTAACTTTCTTTGTATATATTACACACCTTCCATAGCTCATTATACAGACTCCGATGACTTGAGCAAGCTTATATCCTCATTTCCTAATCTCTTAATCATTTTGGGCGATTTCAATAGCAAATATATTTGTTGGAGCAATGACCAATTGTAAGAATGGATTGAAGCTGTATGACTGGTATTAATAACTCCATTAACCTTAGCTTTAGCGTCATTGCTTTCAACGATCTAAATCATATTGACTGTTATTGATTTCGTTAACAATTGTCTATCTGATCTCCCTGATAAGCTCTTCGAAAGTGATAGTATTACCGACAGGATTACTATACCGGTCCTTGGTTGATATTGACTACATTTCATCGCAATTTAAGAGTTTTCTTATCTTTGTCTATTTCGAGCATGTTTAAAGGTAGTGCTTAATAAGAGCTATTAGGTTTCACTGGACCTATGCACTATGGATTTGGCTATGTATTCGCCCGAAGATCCTAATGCACATAAAGCAATTGCGACTTTTTTGTCTAGAGGAGTCGTTTTACACCAATTAGTGTCCTTTTTTGTAAAGACGTGTGACAGCACATGTTCCAAAATGATGACTGCTGGTTCTATAAAAAAAAATTATACATCATAATTTCAATGTACGAGAATACATTTACAAATTTCCAAAACAGCTTTGAAACAGATCACGTTGTTCCAAATAATGTAGCTTGACAGTAGTCCACCATTAATTAGTTTTAAGTGGCAATGTCATGTCTTGTACAACTAATGTATTTCATTCCCTAAGGCACTTCTCTTTATTTTTGCCATAGCTTGACAATGGCAAGTATTTTGCAAAATAAATTTTATTAACAATTCCTCATTATTATTCATTTCTTTTAAAATTATATTAGATTTCAAATGTTTTATTATATATCAAGGTTTTAACTAATGTTTTGTGGTGCAGGTAAAAATGCTGTTAAATATACAATTCTTAATATTCGATTTGGAAATCATATGTTTTTGTTTATAAATCGAATGTTAAAAATTATATGTTCAAAACACCATTTATATTTGCGAAATTTTAAAAGTTGATTATTATAACTATAAAGGATGAAAAACAGACTTCAACATTTTGAGAATGCTGAAATAATAAAAATATAATGCAGTTTTTCCAGATAGTTTATATGCTATATTATATATAATTAAATATTTAATAATTTTTTTAATAATTTCGTATCATCGTTTTTTTAATATTTGCTGTGAAGTGTAAGCATTATATAGAATGATGTGATAAAATTTAGCAGAATTGTTACGGTCAAATACATTTATGTTTTACAACACTAACAAAAATGGTTTCTGCACAGGATAATGACATCGATTCATACACTGAAAGTGATTGTTGTGGAAATGGTTGCGTAAATTGTGTATTAAATGTTAAATCTATTTCGCCCATTGAAATAACATCAAAACAAAATATCCTACGGAACTACACAAAGTTTACATTAAAAAATAAACAACCACATACTCCACTACTGCCTGATGTCATTGAGTTACATTTCGTGTATGCAGATGTTAAAGACGGAGCAAGTGACTTTTGTATCCATGTACCACCAGGACATCACATAATGATGAGAGCGTTTATCGAAGATAAAGTC